TACACCTTAAAGAACTAGAGAAAAAGCAACAAATGATGCCTAAGCCATGCATTAGAAGAGAAATAATTAAAATTAAAGCCGAAATCAATGAATTAGAAACCAGAAACACAGCAGATCAGATCAACAAAACTAGAAGTTGGTTCTTTGAAAGAATTAATAAGATCGATAAACCACTGGCCAGACTTAGCCAAAAGAAAAGAGAAAGGACCCAAATTAATAAAATTATGAATGAAAGGGGAGAGATCATGACTAACACCAAGGAAATAGAAACAATTATTAGAAATTATTATCAACAACTATATGCCAATAAACTGAGCAATCTGGATGAAATGGAGGCCTTCCTCGAAACCTATAAGCTGCTAAGACTGAAACAGGAAGAAATTAACAACCTGAATATGCCAATAACCAGTAACGAGATTGAAACAGTGATCAAAAAGCTCCCAAAAAACAAGAGTCCAGGGCCTGATGGATTCCCTGGGGAATTCTACCAAACATTCAAAGAAGAAATAATACCTATTCTACTGAAGCTGTTTCAAAAGATAGAAAAAGAAGGAAAACTTCCAAACTCATTCTATGAGGCCAGCATTACCTTAATCCCCAAACCAGGCAAAGACCCCATCAAAAAGGAGAATTTCAGACCGATATCCCTGATGAATATGGATTCCAAAATCCTCAACAAAATCCTAGCTAATAGGATCCAACAATACATTAAAAGGATCATCCACCACGACCAAGTGGGATTTATCCCTGGGATGCAAGGGTGGTTCAACATTTGCAAATCAATCAATGTGATAGAACACACTAAAAAGAGGAGGGAGAAGAACCATATGGTCCTCTCAATTGATGCAGAAAAAGCATTTGACAAAATACAACATCCTTTCCTGATTAAAACTCTTCAGAGTATAGGGATAGAGGGAACATTCCTCAAGTTCATAAAATCCATCTGTGAAAAACCCACAGCTAGTATCATCCTCAATGGGGAAAAGCTGAGAGCCCTTCCCTTAAGATCAGGAACACGTCAAGGATGCCCACTCTCCCCACTATTGTTCAACATAGTACTAGAAATCCTAGCAACAGCAATCAGACAATGAAAGAAATAAAAGGTATTCAAATTGGCAAAGAAGTCAAACTCTTTCTTTTCGCAGACGACATGATACTTTATGTGGAGAACCCTAAAGACTCTACCCCCAAATTACCAGAACTTATACAGCAATTCAGTATTGTGGCAGGATACAAAATCAATGCACAGAAATCAGTTGCTTTCTTATACACTAACAACGCAACTGTAGAAAGAGAAATTAGAGAAACAATTCCATTTACAATAGCACCAAAAACCATAAGATACTTCAGAATAAACTTAACCAAAGAGGTAGAGGATCTATACTCTAGGAACTACAGAACACTCATGAAAGAAATTGAAGAAGACACAAAAAGGTGGAAAAATATCCCATGCTCATGGGTCGAAAGAATAAACATTGTTAAAATGTCTATGCTACCCAGAGCAATCTATACCTTCAATGTCATCCCGATCAAAATTCCAATGACATTTTTCAAAGTGCTGGAACAAACAATCCTAAAATTTGTATGGAATCAGAAAAGACCCCGAATTGCCAAGGAAATGTTGAAAAAGAAAAACAAAGCTGGGGGCATCACGTTGCCCGATTTCAAGCTATATTACAAAGCTGTGATCACCAAGACAGCGTGGTACTGGCACAAAAACAGACATATAGACCAATGGAACAGAATACAGAGCCCAGATATGGACCCTCAACCCTATGGTCAAATAATCTTTGACAAAGCAGGAAAAAACATGCAATGGAAAAAAGACAGTCTCTTCAATAAATGGTACTGGGAAAATTGGACAGCCACATGCAGAAGAATGAAACTCGACCATCTCTAACACCATTCACAAAGATAAACTCAAAGTGGACGAAAGACCTCAATGTGAGATAGGAATCCATCAAAATCCTAGAGGAGAACATAGGCAGTAACCTCTTTGACATCAGCCACAGCAACTTCTTTCAAGATACATCTCCAAAAGCTAGTGAAACAAAAGCAAAAATGAACTTTTGGGACTTCATCAAGATAAAAAGCTTCTGCAGAGCAAAGGAAACAGTCAACAAAACAAGGAGGCAACCCACAGAATGCGAGAAGATATTTGCAAATGACACTACAGATAAAGGGCTAGTATCCAAGATCTATAATGAACTTAGCAAACTCCACACCCAAAAACCAAATAATCAAGTCAAAAAGTGGGCAGAAGATATGAAAAGACACTTCTTTGAAGAAGACAGACAAATGGCTAACAGACACATGAAAAAGTGTTCATCATAATTAGCCATCAGGGAAATTCAAATCAAAACCACATTGAGATATCACCTTACACCAGTTAGAATGGCAAAAATGGACAGGGAAAGAAACAACAAATGTGGGAGAGATTGTGGAGAAAGGGGAACCCTCTCACACTGTTGATGGGAATGCAAGTTGGTACAGCCACTTTGGAAAACAGTGTGGAGGTTCCTCAAAAATTTAAAAATAGAGCTACCCTGTGACCCAGTAATTGCACTTCTGGGTATTTACCCCAAAGACACAGATGTAGTGAAAAGAAGGGCCATGTGCACCCCAATGTTCATAGCAGCAATGTCCGCAATAGCCAGACTGTGGAAAGAGCCGAGATGCCCTTCAACAGATGAATGGATAAAAAAGATGTGGTCCATATATACAATGGAATATTACTCAGCCATCAGAAAGGATAAATACCTGACTTTTACATCCACATGGATGGGACTGGAGGAGATGATGCTAAGTGAAATAAGTCAAGCAGAGAAAGTCAATTATCATATCGTCTCACTTATTCGTGGAACATAAGGAACAGCAGGGAGGACATTAGGAGAAGGAAGGGAAAAATGAAGGGGGGGAAATCGGAGGGGAGATGATCCATGAGAGACTATGGACTCTGAGAAACAAACAGGGTTTTAGAGGGGATGGGGGGATGGGTTAGCCTGGTGATGGGTATTAAGGAGGGCACGTACTGCATGGAGCACTGGGTGTTATACAAAAACAATGGATCGTGGATCACCACATCAAAAACTAATGATGTATTGTATGGTGACTAACATAACATAATGAAATTAAAAAAAAAAAGAAAAACAAAACAAATAAAAGTCATACAGATTGGAACTGAAAAAAAAGTGATTGTTAAAACCTGCTAGGGTTTTAAATAAAATAATAAGATTTCTAAGCTAAATGTAAAAGTTTAAGAAAAACTATAGTTCTTCAATTTATAACTTAAATAAATTTAATATTAATTTTTAAAACTAAAGTAAACCTGTGATAGTATTTTCTGCACACACAAAAAAAGATACTGTTAAGGACATCAAAAACTCACATTTAGCATACTGGGCCTGCCTGTCAAACATGTCTGCTTGGTGACTGCCATTGACAGAAAGTTCACCACCTTGCTAGGCAGCCCATTATTCTGTAGGATAGCTTAAGCTATTAGGCTGTTAGAAAGCCCTCCCCTGCCCTTATGTTAAGTTGAACTCCCTCTCCTTGATCTCCAGTCACTGGTCTCAGTTCTGCCCCCCTGTAGACACTGAACAAATCTAATCCCTCTTCCTCATGAAATCAGCATCATCTTTTCTCTAGGCTCATGTCTCCAAGCTAGTGCCTCCAGATTTGCCAATCTTTCATTTGCTCTGCAATTATTTATTGAGGGCCTGCCATGTTCCAGGCACTGTGCTAGATGCCAGAGAGAAAACAACAACAACAACAAAACCCAGGCCCTGCCCTCCAGCTCACAGTCTAGTGATTAAAAGAAGTGAGGAGGTACTTAGAAATAATCGTGAGATAAAACCTGTAGGGAGAGCCCTGAGAGCACAAATCACTCATCCTCATCCTGTGGAGTCACAGATGGCTGCTCAAAGAAGACAATGTCTGATGCCAGAGGAACATTTTGTAGTTGGCCCAGCAAAAAGGTGGGAGGAGAGAGGAATAATACATACACAAAAGCCTAAGATAAGAGGGAGAATAGCCTTTCATAGAATTACATGTAGTTCCATATAGAGCAGGAAGTGAAGAGCAGAAACACAACTTACCCTCCTCCTCCTTCTCACTGATAGTGCCTAGTTCAAAAAGACTTGATCTAGGATCCAAAAACCCTCTGAAATTGTAAGCAAAATTGTGCACATATGTGCATATGTATGTTTTCCTGGAAAGAAGATTTTCAGAAGAGTTATTAGCTTTACGTTAGGAGTAAATGAGTTAGATTGATCCATGTCTGTTAAAATGTAGCCCCTGAACCTAACGCAGTACCAAAATGCTCAGAGATACCATCACAGACAGAACATTGCCTCCCTTCTTCAGGACATCACAGCTCTGCCAATGTGGCTGAATGCAGCCCCATCATACAGTAAACTCACATGTAGGCTGTAGTCACTCAAATCCCTTATGACATTGTCTTGTGAATTCTGCCAGATTCCCTCCACCCTGTTCTTAGTCAGTTGATACTGAAATTAAAACCAGAGCTTTTATACTATCAAATTTCAGCCCAGGGCTCCAGATTCTCTGACTACCATTAATAATAAAACTAATCATAATGGCTAATATTTACTGAATACTTTCTATGTGCAGGCACCATGCTAAATTCTGTATACACGCTATCTCATTTAATCCTCCCAACAGGCTCCTAAAGTAGATATTGTGATCTCCATTTTATAAATGAGGAAACCAAGTATCAGAGAGGGTAAGAAACTTGCTGATAGTGACTAAACTAGGACCGAACCCAAACTCTTAACTGTTAAGCTATAACAGATTCCAATATTGCTTCCTTTACCCACCCACCTTCGCCGACAGACTTAGCGTTCCATGACGAGTTTCATTTCCAGTGTTCTCCCTACCACTGCCACAAAGCCAGTCCTTCTAAAACACTATCAAATCAAATATGAACCTCACAGACTAGATTTGAATATGCTTATTCTTTAAAAAAACATGTGACTCACCAGTTTAAAATCCCAATATATGTGCAGTCTGTTTTGGGCTGCCTTGGAACATGGCTCTAAAGTGGGCTTCTCCCCATTGCCAGGGTCTGCCAGGCAGTGATCATCAGTACGTGCCTCTGTAATCAGTGGTCCCACATAGAATTCCCCGGTTAGGTGATAGTAGACATTCTAAAAGAAAGCAAAGGAATCTGTCCTGGATACAGTCAGTGGGGCTGTCCTTGACCTTATAGAGGGCATGAAGGCTGTTCCTGGGTCCCCTACGTACTCAGTCACTACGAGGGAACACTGACCTTTCATGGGTAACAAGGAGCCGCTTCCACTTCCTTCTCCTCAAACCCCAGTTGACTCTAGGAAGAAGACCAGGCATAAGGAGGGGGCACCAGCCTGCCTGATTCCATATAAGGGCTCCAACACAATCATGACTTGCATCGGCAAAGGAGATTATCTTTGAAACACACACACACACACACACACACACACACACAAACACCTGAACTTCCGAAGTTGTCATCATAAGCTCCAGCTATGGGCTTGTCAAGAAACTTTTCCAGTTCTTAATCTGATACTATCTTGCTTGGTGAGCTTGGACAAGTAAGTTGTTTTTGTGTCTTAGTGTTTTCATTTGTCACGTGGAAATGCTTATCTATCATACATACTACCAGAAGTTCCCTGTGAGGGCAACATGCAAAGTAACAAGACGGATGAAAATATTCTCAGGGGGAAAAGTCCCCCAGGCTGCACCATCCACTTGATGCCACGTCTCTTCTATTCTATGGAATGACTTCATTTAGCCTCTCTCTTCTCTAGCCCCTGTTTCCTTCTCTACAGAAGAAGCCACAGGTAGCATCACCTGCCCACCTTCCAGGGCATACCAGGAGTGTTGGGAGGATGGGACAGTGAAGAGAAGGGAAAAGGGTGGAACCTGAGGTAACTGTCAATGAAAATATTACCATTATGAATGAATGTGACAGAGCATACTTTCTACCTATCATTCCTGTACCCAAAGCAGAACTGTCTACTATGATTTTTTGAATGGACTTCAAAATGCTTAGTTATAAAGACAGGTTTGGATTTCACCCTTACCCATTGCTCAGGATGCTGTTTCTGCCTTCCCATCATCTAACACTTTGTCTGAATCTGGCAAGTGTTGCCAGAGGCTGAGCCACAACAGACTCACCCGGGGGCAGGGGAGATTGTGGAAGATACCTGCAGACTGTATTTGTGACAGTAAAACATGATGGGGGTTTTGCCTGAAACAAGTCCCTGATCCAGGCAGATATTTTCATCCAACGTGTTTTTCATCTGAAAGGGCAAAACACACAGAAACACCATTGGAAAGAGGTAGAGAAAGAGGGCCTTCAGGCCTCCCCAGGTCATTCCTTTTCCCCACTACTCCAAGGGTGCCAGAAATTACCAACCAAAAGGAAGCAGGGGTTTGGATCTTGGGAGCCATTTTCTTTGCACTAGACAAATGCTGGAAGGAGGTGCTGCTGTGATGCTCCTTCCTAGGAACTCCCACCCCTCAGACTGTCACAGCACATATAGAGAAGGGGGACCAAGCCGGATACCCTGGTTGGCTAAGAAACTGAGAGGTCAGATCTAGGGCTGCAGTTTGCAAAGTAAGGAACCAGAGGCAAGGAAAAGAGATGGGGTCTGGGGAGCAAGAGACAAAAGGACACTGAGAGGGCCTAAGGGCAAAAAGCTGAGAAAGGAGTTAAGGGGTAGAAAGAATCCTGGACAGGATGGAATTTGGAAATGCTTTTCTGAGTTGTCATGTAATTCAGGCCCCATTGTCTTTTATAGTCAAATATTTTGTAAAATCTGAGATGCAATTTCATGATACATACTCTTCCGTAGCCCACAATGTTGTGGATTGGCTTCAGGTTTGGATAAACATTTTTCAGATACCAGTCAAAAGTTTTACATTTCAGTTTTTTCCGGAGTGCCATTCTGGAAGAAATGTCTCCAAAATCGATTCCAGAGTTCTATAAATTAAACATGGACTATTTCTGTGCCTTGTAACATCCTTGACTCCACCAAAGGGTATGAATGACACATGAGGGAATGAAATATTTTCCTGATAGCCTGGAAGGTAACCTTGATAATTATAGTTTTTAAGGGAAAGTGGGAAGAGCTTGAAACCTAGTAATCTCTGCTGGCTTCAAAGGTACTTGCAAGGCCTGCGAAGTAGGGCCACTCAGGTTTATTTCCTTTTATTAGCAAGCTAATGCAGACTGCTCCCATTTGAGATAATATTTACACCAGTAAGGCACAAAATACTCCTCATGATAGAAAAAGGCTTTCAAAAGGAATATTCTGGTAGCAAGATTTAGAGGTTGAAGGAGATTTTCTACAAGTGATATCTGTGGGGAATCAAAGGGAAAGAATGCTTGAGCCCAGAGCCGCAGCTCAAGGACAGAAGACAGCATGCCATGCCAACTTCAGGTGGCTAGCCTTAGCCAAGAAGGCCATCCTCATTTGTGTGCATCCAGCAGGGTTACAGTCTCTACTCCCACCATCCCACATCCTACCTGCCATGTCCCATAAATTCCTAATGTCCAGCCCTGCCCCACAAGGAATCCCCCAGTATAGATGATGCATGTAGATCATAGAATCTAGAAGATTCCTTGGTTTAAATTATATCTCTCCTGCTTATTACTTTATTACCTTAAACAAATTCCTTTCAATTCTCTGTGCTTCAGTTTCTCCATCTGTAAACTTGGAAGAATAAAAAAAAAAAAAACCTTCTTCATAGATATGTTGCAATGATTAATGACTACCTGGAGCACAGTATTACTACACTAATGTTAGGTGTCATTATCCTTGCACCATCGGAACTTTATGCTAATTTTTTAGGGTAGGGATGGCACTTTCATTCTATCTCTCCCATTTCCTACCCTATCACCCCCTCCTCCTTCTTCGTTCTTCCCTGCTTCTGTTCAGTCCATGACAAACCTGGAGAGGTATGTTCCAGGCCAAATAGACCATGTGTTTGTACTCATCCATCCAGATTTCAGCCACTCGCAAAGCATTATGCTTCAAGGCAAGACTCAGATCCACGGCATAAGGCTTGTGGTGTCTCTCTAGGTGAGCAATCCGGGAGCAGGGTAAGATCTCAATTCTCCCTCCACACTGCCACACCTGTAAAAGAAGAAAAGAAAGTCACCTGGGCAGGCTAGGCCCATGACCAAGAAGCAGCATAGCTTGTAGACTCACAGAGAACACATTTTGGAATCATTTTTAAAGAATGTAAATTCAGTCCTCTCCCTCCCAGACCAAAGGAATGGATGCCTTGACTCTATTATCCCCAAGAAAGTGCCAGAGTCCTAAGAGGTACCACACTCTGAGCCAATCTCACTGGACTTCACTTCCCAAGACCCACTCTGTGCTGCATGCTAGATATAAAGCAATGTGGTGGACAGACTCTCAGGGGCTCCCATGATCCCTGCCTCCTAGTGTTCATACCCTTCTCTAATCCCTTCCCTTTGAGTGTGGGCGTGTGATCTCCTTCTATCCAATAGAATATGGCAAAGGTGACAGGATGTACATGATTGCATGTATGTGAATACACTATATAAGATGGCAATGTCCATCTGGTTAGGAGACGTGCTGTCATGTTGGCTTTGAAGTAGCAAGCCACCATGTTGTGAGCTACCATAATAAAGAGGCCACAGGGCAAGAAACTAAGGGTGGCTTCCAACTGATAGCCAGCAAAAAAACTGAATGCTTTCTCAGTCTAGAGGGCTTCAAGGAACTGAGTGCTGCCAAAAATCCCATGAGCTTGGAAGCAGATCTTTCCCTAGTCAATCCTCAATGGCCAACACTTTGACTTCCCTGGCCAACATCTTGACTGCAGCTTTGCAGATAACCCTGCTAAGCCATGCATGGACCCTTAATCCACAGAAACTGTGAGATGGTAAATGCACCTTGCTTTGAATCACCAACTTTGTGATAATCCTGCTACACAGCAATAGATAACTAATACATGTAATTCTTGACTAAGAGATATCATGACTTATGATATAATGATATAATTATAAATACTCTTTCTCTGCCATCCTGATGGGTACAAACTTACTTTTCAGGCCACATATTCTAATATTTGCCTTAAAAATATGATCTTCATCCAGATAGATGATAGAATTATCTAATGATATTGGATTGATATAATGGCTCCAGTGTCTTCTCCTCATGGTTTCCCAAGAAATGTGCAATTTCTGGGAGTTAATTGGCCTATCTAGCAGTGGTTAGAAACCTACTACATTCATGCCCAAGGGAGCCTCTGAGATAAGAGTGAGGAACTTAGGTCCTGCTGGTTCAGTTAACCACCTGAAGGGTCAGTCCCCTTATCTGACTTTCAAAATTTTTTCATCCCTTCTTCTACTTCTGAATCCACAGATTCTTCTCCCTCATCCCCCAAAACCCAGAATAGCACAATGACAAAAAGTCATGCTTTGAAGTCAGACTGACCTGTGTTCAAATCCTGATTCTATCACTGCATACCTGGCAACTAGAGGCAAAACACTCCCCCTTCTGAGTCTCAGGTGGCTCATCCACAAAGGACATACAGCTGTCAGGAGGAATAAATGGCATAACAAGTATCCAAAAATGTCTATGATTTTTAACTTGAAACAGATCTTTTCTTCCATTATCTTCCTGAATTTCTCTTCATTAGTTTCCAGAATTATGTGGAGGTTACAACTGATGTATTTTCAGATTTTAGTTTCTGAAGCCAAACATCTAAAATTTCAAATACAAATTTATTACAATTTTTTTAGTTGCTGGTAGTTTCCAATCCACAGGAATTCAGGGAGAAAAAAATTTTGGCACAAAAAAAAAACTTTAAATTCAAGTGAAAAGATAAAAGTCATGATTGCCATTTATGAAGTAATGTTAACTATTATCCTTGACCAACAGTTTTCAAATTTTACTCTTTCAATTTATTCCCACTTGCCAAACATTCCTCCATTCTCATTCTCTGTGTGTGTGTGTGTGTGTGTGTGTGTGTGTGTAACACACAGAGAGAGATGTAAAGCTTCTGCTTATAATAACAATGACATGCTCTGTGGCAAATGTTACCCTAATGTTTTTCATGAATTTAATCCTTACCATGTAGGTATTATTATTATCCTCATTTAAGTAAGTTGCCCACATTTATCAGCAGGTAAATGACTGAACTGGATTCTGAACCCAGGCAGTGAGTCTGTTAAGCTCTGACAAGGGGTCAGGAATACACAAAGTGCCTGATAAATACTGGTTTTCCTTTCTTGAGCATCAACCCCAACAGTCCATCTCCTTTTAAACACTTCCATGTGCACTATCACTGTCATGCCTCTAGATGTCAGAACAAAACATTCCATGCAGTTCTAATGTTCCCCATGATCTGTCACTGGAGAATGACAGATCTTACCAAGTGCTGGAAGGTTTTAAAAGGCAAATAGTCACACACACACACTAAGGAAACTAGATATGGGTAGAACTGTTTTATCCAAGAAAAAGACAAGAATGGCCTTTCCCTGACACTCCCTACATTTCCAGCAAAATCTAACAAAAAAGCATAAAATATTAAAAGAAAGAGGATTTCTTGTGGAAACCAAAATATCAGAAATCAATATGGGATGGTGAGGGGAATGGAAACAGATGAGAAGCAGAAGAATAAGAAAGCAGAGAAAAGCATGGGGAACTTAGAAATGGTAAGAAGGGCTTGGGGTCCTAAGTTGGAGAATTGGAGTTCCAAATTCATGGAAGCTATGGTACATAGGAAAACCTCAGCCATAATGTAACTAAGGTCATCTTAGGACTTTGCTAAGTACCATGCATAAAATAATTATTTCTACATTTCTATTTTGTGCTAGAAACTAATTGTACACTCAATACCTATTTCCCTCTACATCTATAGTTGTAGAAGGAATGACTGCACACATAGCAAGTAGCTGAAATCTACATTTCCCAGACTTTTTTGCTCACCAGTGGCCATATGACCAGCAGCGGCCAATGGGATTTGAGGGAAATAACATATGCGACTTTCAGGTAGTGCCCTTAAAAAGAAAGCATCCTCTGTCTTTCCACCCTTTTCTCTTCCTACTGAGTAGAATACAGCTGTGGTGTTAAGTGTAGCAGAACCACAAGATGGGTCTTGGTTCCCATCACCCTGAAGCTGCCATCTTAATCCTGAACTGCTTATGTTCAAACTACTCTGCGAAAAAGAAATCAATTTCTATCTTGTATAAACATGTTATTTTAGCCTCTCTGACAGTAGTCAAACAAGGATTCAATTCATATCTTTTTAATCATTTAAAAATATTTATCATGCCACTCGGGAGCAAGATGGCAGAGGAGTAGGAGACCTAGATTTCGTCTGGTCTCAGGAATTCAGCTGAATAGGGATCAAACCATTCTGAACACCTACGAACTCAACAGGAGATCGAAGAGGAGAGTAGCAACAACTCTCTGAACAGAGAAGCGACCACTTACTGGAAGGTAGGACGTGCGGAGAAGTGAATCCGAGGCGATATTCAGGAGGATAGACGGCGGGGGAGGGGGCCTCCGTCGGCCGCTTCTGGCAAGTGCTAGAGCTGCGGAGCACAAAATCGGAACTTTTAGAAGTTGGCTCTGCTGAGGGACGTCGCTCCAGTGGCTAAGCGGGGGGTGGAATCCTCCCGGGACAGTGTGGTCTCAGGACCCTCGGAGTCACAGAAAGACCGGGGGTGCCTGAGTGTGCCAGAGCTCCCAGGTATCGGAGTGGGGAAGCCGGCTGCAGAGACGGAGCCGCGGCACGGGCTCTCATTTCGGGGTTGCCATAAACTGTGATCGGTGACAGTCGGGCCACTTCTCCTCTAGCAGGGACCCAACAAGCGGCAGATCCGGGGAGACTCCTCTTCCACCCTCAGGAGGAGCAGCGCAGGAGCGCACCGCAGGGATCTGCTGGGTTTGGAGACTCCACACGGGGTCGGGTGCCAGAGATAGATAAACTCGGGTCACAGGCCGGATGAGCACAGAGTGTGGCTGGAGACCAGGGAGATGGGAGTGATTGCTTTTCTCTGGGGGCACACTGAGGAGCAGGGCTCCGAGTTCTCAGCTCCTCTGGGTGGAGATTGGGAGGCCACCATTTTCACCCTGGTCCTCCAAACCTTCACCGAGAGCTTGCAGGGAACAAAAGCTCCTGAGAGCAAACCCGAGCAGCTTGCTTAGCCCGGACCGACAAGGGCGGGGCAATTCTGCCTCTGGCAAAGACATTTGGGAACCAC